CGCCACAAATATGCCATTGGTGCTCATCGTATTTTATGCATGTCAATAGGTACTTCATATTGTCATATGATTCTTTCATGTGAACTGCATACCCTACAGGAAGAGATGGTAAAATATTTCCAATATGCAATAACACTGCCTTTAAACTCAATGTTGAACTGTTTATAAACAATCTCCATTCTTCTGGGTTATAGTTAATATTTAAAGCCGCCAGTAAGCCGTTAATGTTACTGCAGAAAACCAAGTTATTCTCCATATTGAAAAATGGTTCTAAGTCTTTGTGGCGTTTACGAAAAACACATACCGAAACATCGTCTTCTAACAAGTTCCACTGCTGCAGTCTTGATCCAAGTAACTCTGCCTTACATTTTGGAAGTTCTAAATCTCTTACAAGATCATTTAATTCTGACTGTGTTATTTTGTGCGGTTGGTGGCATGACGTGCTCGGTATAAAATCAGGATCTCTTGACGTTGATGGCATATCTTCTTCCTAACGAATCACTCGATGACCATGATCTGATTCGTTTTCTGATTCGCAAGTGTAGGATTCTGGGGGTTTTGGAATAGGATTTTCGTCACTGTGAGGCACAGGTCTCATCGCAGATGGTATGTTTGGGTAGTTAATAACCGATTTTTTTATCTTGGACATACCTGTGGCTTGTCCAACACAAGGTACCATGCAAAAGTAACAATCATTAATATGATTTGTAGGCTCTCTCCAAACCATTGGGACAGCAAAGCGCATAGACCATTTTTTGCCATTTAACCAGCTCCTCAGACTTGAAGCACATGTATTACAGCAGATGTGGGGTCCCCACTGTTTGTCTTGATCACCTAGTTTACAACCGAAATAAAGCTGATATGCCTTTGTTATGAGTGGAGGGAGTAATAGACCGTCTCTGAGACGCAAAAGTCACATCACCACACACGTAACAAAACTGATCTGGATTGTTTACACACATTCGAGACATCTTGCATGAACGCTGTCAGCCAACTGACGAAAAAATGGCTAATATAAAACAATATAATGTACACGTATGTATAACGTAACACAATCATGCCGATTACATCATCTTTCCTTGCCGAATATAAAAATGTAGCACGTGCATTCTTGTGAATTACAGTATATTAACACTGTCACAGCAGGAACACATATAATTACCGTATCTCTAAAACTTGAACTAATATTGAAAAAATAAGTTTTATTCCGGTTTTAGCACATTAAAAATAGTAATATTTTGTTGATTTTATTTAGGATATTTTTTGGCTGTTGATCAGTGTTTTCAGCCCCCAACGCCAGTCTTTTTTCGCTGTTTCAATTATTAATAGACGATGATACTAAAGGCCATATCTCATAAAGTATACCTGATGGAACATCTGATCAGAGCTTAACTGTGTTTACAGAAGAGACTTCAAAAAAGTGTGAAATTGGATACCTCATTCAAAAATGTACTAGATGTTTCAAAAAAGTCATTGACGTAGAGAATAATTCCCTTTTTTCTTCGATAGATAAAAATTTCCCATTTTCTACGTTACTTGTTTAGGCTCAGTCACACAAATGTTAGTAAATATTTCATATAGTCTTAGTTACTTATCTATGTAGAAGATTTTGAATCACTAGCTATGTCCTAAAAGCTCTGGTACAAAATATTTATCATTTTTTTTTAATGAAGAAATTTATTTAAACACTAAATAGTTATCCTGCGCTACCAGTCGCAACTTTCTTCAAATGTCTCTCATGAGGTCCTGGACGGAATTCAGATCAATTTCTCTATTTTTCGTCAATTCGCCGTCCTAATTATTCTTCATCTTGGACTTCCTAGCCTCCATGATAAACCTTCCTAGACAGTAAAACTCAAAAATCCTCTATTGGGCGAGTCTGCGGCAAGTTTGGAGAACTATCGTTTTTAGGATCAAAAGGTATGTTATGCTGTGGGTTTCTCTTGAGTAATGACATGATACTAGGCCTGGCATGACAAGATATGATCATTAGCATGATGTTCTTGGACCAAATGAAGCAATTGGGAAAGGCAGGAAATAGCTCTGACTATTCAAAGCTTCACCCGTGTAAGAAATTGCGCACTAGACAAGGATTTTATCTGCATCTGCTTTATGTTTGTATCTAACATTGTCAGGGTATTCCTCTACGTTTTCCGCATAAAATCCGTCGTTTTCCTTCATTTCAGAATTACTCAAAGTAAAATACTTTTCGTCGTCTGAAATAATGATTTTGCCATTTGCAAAGTGTACTCGCATCATTTGACGACAGCATTTCGGTATACGAAGGAGTTGCGCTTGGGAGTATTTGGGGCACTTAAGTCTCTTTCGATATTTAAGACCAATCCTCCTCAATTCCAACGATATCGTACTATTAGAAGATCTGTATTAACGAGCCAATCTCATTCTTGACATTCCAACCGGATTTTTTCCTCTTCTCACCAATCTCTCTGACCTCTGAGCAGTAAATGCACGTAGTCTTCCACTTTTTGGGAGATTCAGACATGGTATTCCCTGTTCGCTCTCCCCTATTGTTCGATAAATGGTTCTGAGTGAAATGTTTTCATTCTCTATACTTTTTCTTATTTCTAGTTTATACATCTTAAAGAGAAAACTTCAAAATAAATGAATGTCAACTGACAGTAAAGTAGGTAAGTAAAAAAGCAATTTGATATTATTTTGTGTTTGTTAAAATGAATATTATGGCATGCGTTACCATAATCCACTCCGAAGATATAATTCTTTCTGGATGTTGAAATTATAGGCTCAATACCCGTAAACTCAGTAAGGGAGCATTTTAGATCACGCACAGATCATGTGACCTGAGTCTGACCTTAAGAGGGGCAAATCTATTCACAGAGAGAGCTCACTTGCTTGGAAACTCAAGCATAGTACCCTCGCGGTCATACTCATGGCTCATTTTTTAAATTTCCCGCGGGATCCTAGGTCCCTACGATTAGTCTGGCTAAGCAAATGTAGTTTTTAAATAGTCCCCTGAATAACATGCACAAAAATCAAGTGTGAAAAAATTATTTCAAATATTTTTTGGAAGCCTCAAGGTGTCTCGCTGAAGTTCTGAACCGCGGGACGTCTGGTAGTGCTGAATATTACTTTGCATAAATGTTTTACAAAGTATATTTCAAAATCGGCCATAATAGTTCAAGTAAAGTTATTCTTACTCATCTTTTTCACCTGGCATCTGTAAATCGCATCATTATTCAGCTTAACTTATGCGTAGGCGTTGAAAGTACATATAAACGCTACTGAATGCCCCAAATTTTGTCTTTCAAACAATAGGTCATGTCTGGCCTCCCTAGGCTCTTATACTATAAGAGCGAGCATTGAGTTTTCGCAAGTAAATGCATTCGCTTGTTTTCATTCAATTTACTACATATTTGCAAAAACCAAGACAGAATAACTAGTTTTCTAACATATCAGAGTTATATAAATTGAGTAGAAAGGAACAGAGAAAAATAAGAAAATGTTCATCCCTCTTTGAGATGATAGAAGTATAACTTTTATTTTTCTCCACATGACTTCCTCACTCTATATACCCTATTTCAGGAGTATCAATCACGGTAGAATGACCTTCCAGAACTGGCCAATACGAACCCTGCTTTGTCACCAGGGTGTCGAGACTGTGGAACAATCTACAAGAGGAGGCTTTTCCCAGTTCTACTTACAAAGATCCTCATAGCAGCCGCGGTGCACTGGCAATTTAGGCTTCTGTCTGCGCTGCTGCTTTGGTAAAAAAAGTTCAAAAAAAATATAATTTAAAAAAAAATTGTTTCTGATGATGCCCAAAAAATTAGGATCTTGAAAAATAAAGTTTTGAGTTGTTATTTAATAAGTGAATTGCCTATCAAATCATATATTTGACAAATCGCGTCATTCAAGGAAGCAAGAAGCAAATAATAGCTGACTCATTCAGAGGCACCTTTTTCAAAATCTTGAAAAAGTAAAAATCCAAATTATCAAATAGATTAAAAAATAATAAAATAAAACCGGATTAACAAAGTTTCTTTATGCTTCTGCTTGTGCGGCTGCTTCTGTAGGTATAAAAAAGTGTCGGTTTCACAATCACAAATATTGATGAAGTTAGCCCTCACACATTCAAATGTTAGCTGTTTTCGGCGTCAAGTACATATGTTAACTAGGCACTTCCCACGCAACGCTGTCATCAGTTCTTGAATTATGTTCGATATAAAATACATCTTCTGAAAAAAAAATAGCTCCGAACGCGCATAACAAAAACGTTAAATGGGCCATATCAGTCGAACAAGCCCATATGATTAGTATATAGCCTCATCCATGTGACGACGTTACTATCCAGATAGTTCCCCTCAGCCCGATAGTACCTTTTATCTGGTAACGTTGCTAGGACAATCCATTATTCGGTGTATGAAGTATGTCTAATAGGAGAGTAGAATCACGGAGGTTGGGAACATGGTCCCGAAAAACATGAAGATACACTATCCCCAACCTTCTACAACCTCCAACCCTTCATTTTCAACCAGTACAAAAAATTTTCTGAAAATGACGAGCAGCACCTGAATCATGAGAAAACGAGGCTCTAGCGTTTCTTTTTATTTTTTTCGTTCTTTGTCCGTAGCTCCGCCACCACTGGACCGATTTTCATAAACTGCTATATGTTTTCGTCCTTGGCAAAGTAGAAACCTTATGCGAAAACTAAATGAGCGACATGGTTTTTCATGATCAAAAAAACATTACTTTCATTTTTTGTTGTCAGATTCTTCGATAAAATTAATATTAACGCATCCCTCAACAAGGGTTCAACAGCCGCTTATCGATCAAAAGATCGACTAATTATCTTTGTATGCAAATAGAAGCAGCCCGCGGTGTTATGCGTGTTTCCGCAGCAGCAACCAACAACAGAAGAAGAAGAGAAAGAAGAAAAACAAAACCGCAAGGTACCATCGGTACCATCGACCGCGGAGGATTCTCCTAAACCAGAATTAAAGAGACCCGTTTGTTGTTCTTGTAGTCGTCAAGTTCTCGCGGGTAGTCACACTGTTCGCGTCTTCAGCGTTAGGCCTTCAGCGCGGTCTTCATCTTTCGAACAGATGAAGCAAAAGTACAGCAACGTTAGCCAATTATCGTAATTGTAGACGCGGGTGCTGTTCGACGACAGTGAAGTTCACTCTATTTATCTGTTAGTACTTCAAATCCACACATACTTTTGATTTGTTTTCCTGGAAGATTTAGCATTCGTTTGTCTCATATCACCTTAATTTACTAATATGCTTAATTTGACTATTGGAAAACAAAACGTATCTCTTATAGATGCTATGGAAGCTCCAACCAGGGGGATTCTCTTTTAAACGAAAGCTGTACTTTTACTTATTCAGAAGCTTCTTCCTTCAAAGTCAATAGCATGAGTAAGATGAAACAATTATAAAACTTTTAGTGAAGAGCTTATAAGAAACATTTTTCAAAGAACTCTCTATTCGCACAAAGATCTGTGCTTTGCTGAAAAATGAGAAATGCTACAAAAGTGCCCGTCAGGGAAAAAAATTAGGATTCAGGGAACAGTGTTTAAAAAATAAAGGGCAATTCATGACAGGAAATTGTGAAAAGGTTTAGAGATTTGTTTTAGTTCAGGATATTTGATACATTAACCAACAAAAATTTTTGGACGATTGAGGACGCTATTTGATGATTTTTGATGGAAACCACAATGCTCTAAGGTTACCGAGATATGATCGTTTTTCTTTTTTGCTGAATTACATACAATAGTGCATTAATATCGTTATAACTTCTTTGTTTCTACAGATTATGACACAAAATAAACGTGAGTCTCTACTGTAATGCATACTCAATCACACCATATAAGCAGTTCTTGCAAATTTACTCAAACAAATGATTTGTGACCTTCCAAAGCCGTACAATCACGTGGAGTGTATAAATAATTTCAAATTCGAAATTCGATTATATAAAAACTATATCTTTTTTGAAACCTAGTTTTTCTTAAAAAACTTCTATGATTTATTGCCTTTTCAACGATTCCTTAGTTTTGTGTAATTATCTCTAGAAAAAAAGTTATAACGATAAAAAAACGAAAAACGATCATATCTCGGTAACCGTAGCCCTTAAAGCATTGGGTTTCCATAAAAAATCATCAAATAGCGTCCCCAATCGCCAAAAAAATGTTGTTGGTTCATGAACCTAACACCCTGTATATTAAAACACGTTCAAAGAGGTTTGAGACTAATCATAAAGTATGTATGGAGATCTCTCTACAGCTCGCTGTAAGATTTTGTGATAAATCAACCAGGTGCACTGATATTTTGTGATTATGGTGAATCTTTCAAACCAACAATTACTGCTGTCATTTGTATTCATATTTGTGAACATTGGACACCTAGGAAGCAATGTAAGTATATTACTACATGTGTAAAGGTGTGAATATGTATGAATTATTCAAGTAGCTTTTCTTCTTGCTCGATGATTTTGAAAAGCTTCTGGGAGAGTTGCATTTTTATTTTCCTTAAGAAACTGCGTTAGGCCTAGTTTAAATGTCAAGTTCAGGCTTTTATTTCATTTTAGACATTTTTTTACATTCTAGACTACCCCCAAACTGACAGAAAAGCTGAAAAACTGCTGATTGTTGTTGAAATTAGCATTATTTGAATATGTGACCAAAGCATCAAAAACAAGCATGAGAACAATTTATCAGGTCTAACAATTTTCTAGGGAACGGTACATACAACGTGACTCTCATTACAAATCGATGACGTTTTTATATCAACATTCTTTCTGTCGCCACCGCTACGTATGTACAAATACGTTCAAAGAGAATCGTCATATCTTTCTTTCATTTTTATTGTACATTTATAAAATTCTACTAGAAATAGAAAAGATACATATGCAATTTTTCTATGACAGATTCCGATTTGGAGACATTGACCATGCTAAAACAGATCGTGCCCACATGCCTTAAAAACTTGTATTTCAGATGATATCTGCTGTATGATAAGCATCTCAGTTTTCTTACACCGAACCAGGTGTAGGCAGATGCCCAAATGCCAGGGCACCGCGGCTACTCAGGTAGATTGTTCCACAATCTCGATACCCCAGGGAAAAAGGAGCGGTCGCATCGACCAGTTCTGGATGTACGATGTTCGATGAGAGGATGGGAGACCTAAAGGGTCGTGAGACTGACCGTTAGAGAAGACTCATGGATCAGCCGCACACCCCTCCGCTAAACAACATCGAACTGGGATGATGCAGTCGAGGCGGCAGTACCCTAAACCTGTGAGCAGTACTTAAGGCTAAGTCTTATAAGAGCCTTGTACAGAGTGAGGTGGTTACGTGGAAAAAAGTACTTCTTATCCCTAATCAAATAACGGAGGGTTTACCTGCAGCAGCCGCTATTGACAAGATGTGTTCGTGCCTGATCAGGTCCTCGGTGATCTTGACTCCGACTAGCTCAAATGAATGACTCTTTGGTAGAACTCGGTCTTCCATCGAAACCGGATGAGCGCTAGCTCTTATTAGTCGGTACTGTGTTTTGGAAGCATTAAACTTTACCACATTGTTGTCTCCCTAACCAGCGATGAAGCTCCTGGTCTCTTGTCAGAGAGTAAGTCACCCCTGGTCTTCTCTTCCTGAATTCCTGCATGTAGAGTGCTGTCACCAGCAAAGCTGTGGATCGGATTGATTGAGCAGGAAAGGAGGACGTTGATAAGTAAGAGGAACAATGTCAGAGCCAAGAGCGATCCCTGGGGAACACCCGCATTAACATTGTGGGATGAAGAGGAGAACCCGTCAATTCCGACGGATATCTTGCGATCAAATGGAAAGTCAGCCACTCATCTGCAAAGCTTCTCTGAGACGCTTTAGAAGGAAAGTTGATCGAAAGCTAACATAGTCAAGTATTTGATTAGTTATAGAAGAAAGCCCCGCCTTGAAGCTGGTATTAAGAATAATAAGTCAACGCAGTGTGACGCGATGATTCCTCCCGAAGTCTGAAATATTCTTGAGTTTTGGACCTGAATTTCTTTTAATCATGCTTCTAGTCATTTGCCAAGCTGAGGCACAGTGCGTAGAAAACTCGTCAGACTTTGGGTAACCTTAGTAGTTGTAATGTTTGACTGTTGCATCATTGCATTAACGATATTATACTTTGTTCGCAAGTACAAATATTTATCGTCAAAGTAACAAGTTTATAAAGATCAAATGTAATAAACTTAAGTTATTTCCCAATTCCAGGTAAATGGTCAACTTATAGATGTAAGCGCTTTCAAAAAGTACTTTGGAGGGCCGAGATTTGGCAACTGGAATGCAAGCAACAAACCACCGCCTAGACATGACACCCCACCATCTCCTTGCAGATGCAGTAAGTAGAACAAACTTTATTTTATATGTTTCGCGTCAAAATCGCAGCTTCAATACTTTAAAAGTTTCTCTTGAATTTACTTTCCAAGTTACGAATATGCAGCTTTATCTATAGATGTGCCTCAGTGCTTTCATCTAAAAAGCAATGGAGGAATACAAAATTAAACTAGCAGCGTTCAACACGTGTCGCGAAATGATGCGTTCTAGTTGAGCTTCCAAATAATTGCATCGTTTTTAGAGTGTGGTGAAAAAAATGATGACACCAGGATTGTTGGAGGGAAACCCACAGAAGAAAATGAGTTTCCGTGGATGGCTAGATTGTCTTACTTCAACCGTTTTTACTGCGGAGGAATGTTAATCAATGACAGATATGTGCTTACAGCAGCACATTGCGTCAAAGGGTAAGACCAAAATTTCATCTGTCAATCTAGATTCCATTGCAGTGATGCCAACTTTAGTGGTTTTCCCCCAAATTTAGGGCAAAAAAATTCAAAAAAGGGATGTTATAGGGGTGCATTTTTTGGGGTATTTATAAGGAGTAAAAATTATTTCATAACTCGAAATTTTTCCGACTAACTGATGTAAAACCAAGACCCATGAAGATCTTTATTCTTCATGGACTCCGATTTCATGAACTAGTCATGCGTCCTTTATTTACAGCTGTTAAATTTGTTACTTTAGAATAATTATGTGAATATTACTTAAAACATCGAGAAAAATGCCGAGAATTGATAAAAGCATTAAATGTACTTAAAAGTACACAAAAAGTAGCAAAGGGAGATGAGAATTGTTTTATTGTTTATTTAATTAAGCAACAGAATATTTGATGTGAAATTATGAGTATTGTTTTTTTACATCCAAAGTTTGGGTATATTAGTTTGAATTTAGGAGAGAGAATTTCAAAATCAGCTTGGAGACCAGTTGGCATCACTGTTCCATTAGTGTGTACGGTATTGTATTACCAAGAGATGTACAAACGTTTCCCTGCTGGACTATAAATCAAAATTATACCCCACTAATGACTTATATAATGATGCACAAGTATATGATACTAAACAACTTTACTTCTTACATACCATCACTCATTATCACAAAACTATTAGTGAACACGACATAATTAAACATAATCATAAAACCAGATATAAATTACGCGCAAAAAATGTTCCTAAACCAAACAAATCCCTAATGAAACGATGTCACCTGTATATAGCTCTAAAATTGTACGAACATTTACCAAATAATTTAAAACAATTACGCAATACATTAGGCTTCAAAAAAAATTAAAAAAATTTATTAACACGATTGGGAGAAATCAAATTAATAAAATAATCTCAAATATTACACAATAAATGCTCTACCATTTTTACCAATAATTTCTTTTTTCTCTCTATTTTATTATATTTTGCAATTCAACATACATAGGATCCATGCACAGGCGTTGTCCTCCTATGGATATATTATATTTATTTACTCGTTTCATGTTCCCTGTATTTTAGAGTAAATAAATATTATATTATTATTATAATACCATTACATGTTGACATTAATTTTTCCTATGTTTTAGGTTCATGTGGTTCATGATAAAAGTGACATTCGCTGAACACAACCGATGTGATGACAGGAAACGTCCAGAGTCGAGATTTGTCCTTCGAGCCATCTTAGGAGCCTTCACCTTTCAGAGTTTCGACCACGATATTGCTCTACTCAGGCTCAATGATAGAGTGCCCATCACTCAGTTCATTAAACCTGTATGTCTACCCAATAGCAAAAGTACGTAAATATTCATCTGTCTAAGTGCGAGTGCCCTCATGCTCCGCAGGGGTAATACGTAACTTGGAAAGTGTGACATTATGTCGGTTTTTTTGACATTATGTAAGTTTATTATGACATTACGTAGGTTTTCCTACAAGACATCAAGTTAGAACTAGCTGTCGTTCACTTCATGCTGACTTGTAGCAAGCGCGGAATGAACTATTTGCCCACTAGCCTACTTAATCATCAAATTGACATGTTATGTTTTTCTTTGTTGTTGAAATTATACAGATTTTTTCATTTAATAACCCTGCAGGATGGTTACTACCCCTGGCTGCTAAATACAGGGTGGCAAATCCATGTGTGGACGTAATATTACTCATGAACAAACACATTTTGGGAAAATCTATTTATGGGATGCTATACATGACAATTGAGGGCACATTTCTAAAATATTGGTCATTATACAGGGTGTCCCAGTTTCGACCTACATATCAAATTCAAATGGAATGCCTCAAATTTTATTGCATATTTGAATATACCAACTCAAAAGAAGAAAATTGATATGTCATACTATGGGGTTTTGGTAATTAGCTACCGAGACATAAGGTGTTTTGTCTAGAAAAACCTCTCACCTCGGCAACTCTTCAGTCCGTGCTGAACTTTGTATAAAAAAAACTTACACACTGCAGCTTTTATGTTATTTATTATTTTTTCGAATTATAGTTTTTGCTCATACAGGGTGGTCAAAAACGCAAATAGTAGTTTTTATCAAAAATTTCAAATGCCTCACCCTGTATATTTGTGCAAGTCTGGATTCAATTTTTTATAAACTTTTTTTTGATACTAGACACAAAAGGGTTTTTACTGCTATTTTTTCGGTTATTTGTGTCTTTTATGGAACGGCTCAATTCCCTAAAGTATAGTTTCATCCTTGGAAACAAATAAAGTGTTGATTAGTTACAAACTGTCAAAATTAGCTTTATGCATTATAATAAAAACGTGTCTGATAATGAATTTATTTAAAGTAGAAATGATGAATATGGTGTTCGTTTTGGAAGCCCAAAGAAATAGTTTCCTGGCATCTCGCATATACAGGGTGTTTCAGTTTATTATTGCATAACTTTAAGATTCGATAGAACTTTTAAAATTAATGCATAAAGTCTATATAAACATGGGTCGAAAAATGCGTGGCTTCCGAAATACAGGATGTCTAAATTTACTTTCTAAAATAGTTTTTTTTAAATATTTCGAACAATATTTGATGTATAACAGTGAAAATTGGTATACAAGGGTTTTTTTGGTACGACAAAACGAACTATGGGCATAGTTTTACTGTAGCCGCTAGAGGGCGCTTTCTACTGTACCTGTAGGGTATTAAAATGACCGGAAATTTTTTCTTAGTCCAATGTTTTGCTTTTGGAATAAAAAAACGGATTCTTCGCACTTTTCAACATAAAAAAGCCTCTCTTGTGAATTTTCGTTATAGTTAGCCATTTTTGAGATATTTCGATTTTTAAGGTTCGATGCATTTTTAATTATTTATGAAATTGAAAGCAGAATAAGGTTAAACGTCAATTAGTAGACAGTTAGTTTTGTTGTCTGTTGAAACCTGAAACGTTTTTTTGCAATTGTGAATGCACGAAATTTAGTTTCTTTTACCTGTTTTTTTTGTAAGTTTTATAAAAATGCCAATTTTATTCTCCAATCAAGAGATAGCGGATATTCATTTTGTATATGGCTTTGTAAATGGAAACGTAGCAGAAGCAGCCAGAGAATACGCACGAAGATTTCCAAACAGACGACATCCAACTCGCTCAGTATTTGTAAGAGTGCATCGCCAAATAATTGAAAATGGTTTTGGAAATCTCCAAAGGGAACGTTTTATGGACCGATGAGTCATGCTTCACTAGACGTGGAGTGGTAAATTTTCATAATCAACATATTTGGTCGCATAAAAATCCGCATGCAGTTCGGGAAAGAAATGTTCAGCATGAATTTAGTGTGAACGTGTGGATTGGTATCTAACGTAATCGACTATTTGGTCACTACCTTTTGCCTGCAAGGTTAAATGCTGCGACCTTCTTAGAATGTTTAAAGGCTGAACATGCAAATATGTGGGATGATGTTATGTTAGATTTAAGAAGATTGGCCTGGTTCCAGCTTGATGGTCGTTCAGCTCATTATTCGAGAATTGTTAGAAACTGGCTGGACGAAAATTATCCAGAAAGATGGATCGGCCGTGGAGGACCAGTCGCCTGGCCTCCACGATCCCCTGACCTAAATCCATTACATTTCTTTGTGTGGAGATTTCTAAAAGAAAAAGTGTACCAGACTCCCGTAACCACAAGACATATGCTAATAGACAGAATCAGGAATGCATGTGATGAAATAAGGCCTTATTTGAATAATGCTATACCACGTTCGATCATTCGTAGATGTGAATTGAACAATGGTGTTTACATTTCGAGCAACTACTTCAGATTTTGTATGTTTGTCCTAACTATCCAATAGCATTTTAGTTGTAAATAATTAATTTAATTTGTTAAAAATAATATTGGAAAATTAAACAAGTTAATATTCTGGCTTTTTTTATTGCTGTGTTTAAAAACACAATCTAAACGATCTTGGTTACTTGTAATGCCCAAATCGAAAATGTAAAAAAAATATTATTTTCCCATAAATAATTAAAAATGCATCGAACCTTAAAAATCTAAATATCTCAAAAACGGCTGACTATAACGAAAATTCACAAGAGAGCTTTTTTATGTTGAAAAGTGAGAACAATCTTTTTTTTATTCAAAAAGCAAAAAATTGCACTAAGAAAAAATATTCGGTCATTTTACTACACTACAGGTACAGTAGAGAGCGCCCTCTAGCGGCTACAGTACCAAAAAACCCTTGTATACCAATTTTCACTGTTATACGTCAAATATTGTTTGAAATATTTAAAAAAAACTATTTTAGAAAGTAAATTTAAACACCCTGTATTTCGGAAGCCACGCATTTTTCGACCCATGTTTATATAGACTTTATGCATTAATTTTAAAAGTTCTATCGAATCTTAAAGTTATGCAACAATAAACTGAAACACCTGTATAATTGCCAATATTTCAGAAATGCGCCCTCTAATGTCATGTATAACATGCCATAAATAGATTTTCCCAAAATGTATTTGCTTATGAGTAATATTCCGTCCACACATGGATGAGCCACTCTGTATAGTTCTTTCAAGTTAAAATTGTTAAATAAATAATCGGTTTCCATTTTAATCGATTATAACCTCCTATGCCACTGACGAGGAACTATTGTGATCGCGATAAATTAATTCCGAAATTAAGATTTTATATTTTTATTATATATATAAAATTATTTTATTTTTACGATGTTACGTGACATATAGATCACAAAAAACCATGTTACTGTTTCCGTCGGTGTGACTGTCTGTCCGCTAATCCTTGACCCCCTATATAGTTTCTAAAGCATCGCTCATATTTTGATGAAATGTTCACATAAGTTTATTACTATGCCAAGGGCGGAAGGGTTTTGTTGTTTTCTCATAAAATCTGTTCAGTGTGAAAACACGAAAATAAACAAAAATTGCCAATACTTTGTTGATGCGTCAGAGGTTCTTGATCATTTTCCGAAAAAAA